TAAAAAATGTCTAGTTGTAAAATAAGTCCCAATTCTTTTTGTTTTGTTTGTGGAATTTATATTTTCAAAAATGGTAAAGCTTTAACAGACACTTTGAAAAGAAAGTACCATTTTTGCTATGGCATATTTGCTGAAGATACAAACAATGCTTGGACGCCAAATAGGGTATGCTCTTCATGCGCTGCTTCTCTTCACAAAGGTAAACGACAACGTTTTTCTACTCCCACGATTTGGCACGAACCTGAAAATCACGATGCAGATTGCTATTTCTGTTTAACAGAAACAAACAGGTACACTAACATTCAAAAAAACTATATACAATATCCTAATGTATCATCAGTAACACCTGCAGTTACATTGAACGTTTCTGTTAATAAAGGTTCATCAGATAATGTAGACCTTAACGATTCAGTTGATCAAACATGTGAACAGGATGAACGTAATGATTCTGATGAAGGTAATGATTCTGATGAACCTAACCATTCTGATGAAAATACAACAACAAATTCCTGTTTTACTCAACATGAGCTAAGCGATTTAGTGCGAGACTTAGGATTGTCTAAGGAAAACTCTGAAATTCTAGCTTCTAGGTTGAAAGAAAAACATGTTTTGGCTCCAAAAACCAAGATATCATTTTATCGTAATAGAGATAAACATTTTAGAAAATTCTTTTCTACTGCAAATGCTCTGGTTTACTGCAATAACGTTGAAGGATTGATAAATGCTTTTAACAGTAGCATTCGTTACGTAGCAGCTGACTGGAGACTGTTTCTTGATTCTTCTTGTAAAAGTTTTAAAGCAGTACTCTTACATAACGGTAATCTTTATGCTCCTATCCCTATAGCACATTCGGTTGTTTTGAAGGAAGAGTATGAAATTTTAAAGTTTATTTTACAAAAATTAGAGTATGAAAAACACAAATGGCAATTATGTGGTGATTTAAAAATCATAACAATACTTTTAGGTCAACAGAGTGGTTTTACTAAATTTTCCTGTTTTTTGTGTGAATGGGATAGCAGAGCTCGCGACAAACATTATAGGCAAGCAGTTTGGCCATCTCGATTAGCATTGGTACCTGGTTCAAAAAATATAATACACGATACTTTAGTTGAACCGTCGAAGATCTTACTACCCCCATTACACATCAAATTAGGACTGATAAAACAATTTGTTAAAGCGCTCAAAAGCCGTGAAAGTAATGCATTTACATATCTTGCTGTGAAATTTCCAAAACTTTCTGAATCAAAAATAAAAGAAGGTGTCTTTGATGGGCCACAGATTAGATCCTTACTAAAAGACCAACAGTTTCAAAAACACATGTCTGCTGAAGAAAATGTTGCATGGGAAAGCTTTAGAGCAGTAGTTACAAAGTTTCTAGGAAATGTAAAAGATCCAAACTTTAAAGAAATTGTAGGAGATTTAGTAAAGAACTATGAAAAGATTGGAGCTTTAATGAATTTGAAATTACATTTCCTACATTCGCATCTCGATTTTTTTCCCAAGAATCTTGGAGATGTAAGCGAAGAACAGGGTGAGAGGTTCCACCAAGATATGAAAACCATGGAGCAGCGTTACCAGGGAGTATGGAACGAACGTATGATGTCAGATTACTGCTGGAGCTTGGATCGTGATACTATAAATGAACATAAAAGAAAAGGCGTTAGAAGATCATTTGAAAAGAAGATAACTCGATTTTACAAAAAAGAATAATAAAAATATATACTTATATAACCTGGCGTAGGCGCCCCCGAACATTTCGGGTAAGTCTTAAAAGAAATGGTACCTCCACGTGGTTTAAGATGGGTAACGCTAGATCCATTTCACAAATACATACTTGTACAACTTGGCGTAGATTAGCGTGAGTCCCCTCGCCTCTCACGATTCGGGGTGCTAGATTAGCGTGAGTCCCCTTGGGCAAGCAGGCACACAGACAGTCAGGCGAGCAGGCGGTGGGTGGGAAGGCAGACAGACAGGCTGGCAGGTGACCAGGTGGGCAGGCAGTCAGGAGAGAAACCCCAAATCCATAAACTCCAAACCTATAAATCCCAAACCTCAAATCCATAAACCCCAAACCGATGAACCTATGAACGATTTTTTGCGATTTATTCAAAATTTTGATGCGATACGGCAATTCTGAGTGCAGATTCGTGATCAGCGACCCCAAAAACATATAGGACACCTATTCTCGTCTCGGGTGCCGGCGATTTTTTTTTGGTGGAGCTGTGTAATCAGAGATCCCAGGGATATCACACAAATATATTTCACTACAATATGCGATATCTATACGTGTTCGTAGCTGCGGACATTAGTATATCCTAGTAATATCCCTCACATATCCATGACTTCTATAAGATATCTATAGGATATTGCAATATCCCGGCAGGATATCTTTGGGATATTCCACAAATTTCTCTCTGTTGTGTGGGACAGTGTCTCAGACCTCCATGATCACATTTTGTGAGAACGTAGAATGGATTGAGGTGACCAAGAAAGACCTGTGTCGTTTTGCGATATTCGTGATAGTTTTCGAGAAATTATTTTGTCTCAGGTAATGAGAGCAAAGGAAGCGGTAACCGAAAGAAAAATGTCTTCGGTCGGCGCGCGACTGACACACGCGAATCATAACTCTCTACATTCGTCCGCCCATAGCTATGAGACATAGCAAGGCTTCATACACTACATATGTGCATGACATATCCGTGTGCCAAATCGACACCGAATCTAAGAGTGTGTTGCCGCTTCGTTGTTTCACCTCTACATACACATGCAGCTGAAGCAACGACACGTTTCGGCGTCGATTTAGCACACAGATATGTCATGTGTTAGTGTATCAAACCTCGCTGTGTCTTGTAGCTATAGACAGAGGGACGCAGCGAGTCGCGATTCGCGTGTATCACGGTCGCGCGTCGGCCGAAGACATCTTTCTTTCGACTGCCGCTTCCTCTGCTCTCATTAGCTGAGACAAAATAATTAATTTAAATATATTTAACATTTTTTTTTAAATAATAGGTTTTTTACGAGGGCTGTTTGATAAGTCAGTGACTTTTTGAATAAAAGATATTTTTTTCGGCAAATAAGCGTTTTATTTTTCAACATAATTTTCTTTTAGCTCGATACATTTAGTCCACCGTTTTTCCAATTTTTTTATTCCTTCCAAATAATAGGTTTTCTCAAGGCCCTCAAAATAGGCGTTTGTTTCGGTGATGACCTCTTCATTCGACCCAAATCTCTTACCACCCAGCCATTTCTTCAGGTTTGGAAACAGGAAATAGTCGCAG